AACTAAGTGAAAATTCACAGCCGATATGGATCGAGTACACACCAATTCAAGATTCTAGCACAACCATGTTCATCAAATCTGGTGTTATATCACATAATACTGAGTGAGTAAGATCAAATAGTTTTATTTTCAAACCAATAAATTAATTAGATCAAATTCATATTATAAAATATGAATACAGGAGTATCTATTTCTGCACGAAAAATGGGATGCTATTGGAGCTTACTGAGGCTGATCCTCCAAGGTTATCTCTTTTTTTTTTTTTTTTTAAATTCTGAAAAGGGTATTTATGTCTTTTCATAAACATGGGTAAAGGGTGTTTATGTCTTTTCACAATGGGTAGATGGATAAACCATGGGAAGCCTCCTGGTGCAGATGTTGCAGCCATAGTAAATGCTCCTGGAATTAGGGCACAAGTCGTATTCACCATAAGGTTACATATTTTTATTTTTTCTGTTTTTGTTAATGTGATTTGAAGTTGGAACATAATTTTTGTACTTTTTTTTTTTTTATAATTAAATGCAGTTTGTCGGGGGATTTGTACGAATTTGATAGGAATTCAAAGCCAGTGTGGAAGAAACACATACGGAGTAAAGAATCGGGTCAAGACACTGCTTTGACACCATCGAGTGGTGGTAGTGTACACCGAAAAACCGGGCCTCATTCCGATTCTCTCTTTCTCTTGACCAAAGTACGGAATTGGGAAACTGATGGATTCCATTCCGTAGAGGATTTTAAAATTTGTTTGCCAAATGGACGGAATTGGATATTTACTTTTGTTTTTATTTATATTTATTAAAAGACCAAAATGCCCTAATTATATGAAAGTTGATCCGTATATTTTGACATACACAATAATTTATGTTTTAAATGGTTATATAATATACAAATTATACAATCTTTTAAAACATAAATTGTTGTATGTAGGAAAATTTTGATATGTATGGATCACTTTCCTAATTATATTGAAATATGAAGTTAAATATATATGATCACGATAACTAAAAAAAAAAACTGGAGGATACTAAGAAAAAAAGTCCACTGCCCTCTTATAATCTTTTGGTAATCACTACGAGATTTTATACTAAGAAATTTTCTAATTTTGATTTTTATTTCAACTTTTTGTATGGATTTTGGTCTTTTTTTTTTTTTTTTTTTTTTTTTTTTTTTTTTTAAGTTTCACTGACCAAAATCTGAAACGGATAATACATAAAATTTATATCAAGTTTTGAACTAAATATCGCAAAATGTTTGTAATTTAGTATAATATATATATATATATATATATATATATATATATATATATATATATATATATATATATATATATATATATATATATATATATATAGGAATGAGTTCTATGGAAAACAAATAACTAGGACAACATCTACCGGAATCAATAATCAAATGACATGTGTCCATTTCTTTCTTCACAAGTAGAGATGCACACAAAAACCGGTTTCACTATTCAAAACCGGATCCAATCCGAAACCGAATCAGGTCAAAACCGGTTTTGACCAAACCGGATCGGATCGGATTTAAAACCGGATTTTCAATCGGATCCTAATCCTATATTCCAAATCGGATTTGATACCGGATCGTAAACCGGATTCGCTAAAAACCGGATCCAAATCCGCCCCAAAATCCGATTAAAACCCACTAAAATCGGTTTAAACCGGTTTCAAATCGGATTAGAATCGGATTCGGATTTTGGTTATAACCGGATCGGATTTTGACCGGATTCGGATCGGATTTTGACTGGATCGGATTTTTGATGATGTAAGCGAAACCGGATCGGATTCGGATCCGGATCGGATCGGATCGGATTCGGGTTAGAATCAGATTCGGATTTTGGTTATTGTGGAAGTTATTGTGGAAGTGATGTGTTGTCATTTTTTCATTGGTTCAAATATGTGTTGCCCTAATTATTCATTTTCCATATAACTCTTCCCCATATATATATATATATATATATATATATATATATATATATATATATATATATATATATATATATATATATATAAAACTTAAAATTCAAAAGTTAATTCCATTTTATTCTATTTTCATTTTTATTATTGGATTCCATTATTTTTCAGTCTTGTCATGCTCTAATCAATCAAATTCCAATATTCTTATATTCTAAATCTTTTTGATATATTTTATTTCAACAATAATTATTATACAAACCAACTGCTGGTTCTAGTTGTTATTATTATTATTATTATTATTATTATTATTATTATTATTATTATTATTGAAATCTACTATTTACATACAGGGTGGCAACTTGGTTGAGAGAAAGTTATATCAAAGAAAATGGAAATGGCTACTTCATGGAAGCCCGAAAGATCAACACCTCACATCAATCACACTCGTGTCAATCGACGAAACACACACAAACACGTTCTCCTTATTTCTAACATCCGCCTCAGGATCCGTCTTTGAATACATCATTTCAAAACAACAAGGTTTTTTCAAGACATTTTTTCCAATCATTTTCATTTTTCACCTCCCAAAAAGTATCTAATTTCATGATAAAAAATGCATGTAAAGACAGATGCTGATAAAAATTGGATAGATCATACGCACCCACCACATTCCAAAGTCGCCAAGGGCATTTCCGGGATGAATTATCAAATGGGCCGTCTCGTATTCCCTTTGGACGATGGACGGCTTGCAGAGCTCCATCAATCAAAAACTAGTGGTGATGTAGCGGGCCCCACCCCGATTGTAAACACACGAAGACGAGTATACAATAATAAGTACACATGGTCGATAATAGACGCCCCCGAGAGTGAAGGGTGGAACGCGGAATACTGCACGGAGGATCGTGGTCCGTTGAATTGTATTTCCGGGGTGAAAGATGATACATGGTCGAGAAAGCGAGCCGGAAGCAAACCCCAAGATCAATATTACCTAACGCCCCCTGGAAAATCGAAAGATGTGACGTATTTACCCCTCCAAAGAAACTTTCGTTTACGAGTGATGCACGATAGTAGATCGTTTTTTCTTGTGACGGAAAACGGGTTGGTTTTTGAGTATTTGAATGTTGAAAATGTGTGGTTTTGGCTACACCATGTGTATCCTACGGGTATGAAAGGTGCAGTTGGAAATTACAATGGAAGTTTGTTTTTGGTGGATGAAAATAGCAATCTACTTATTAGAGAAAGATTCGGGAATGAACTGACGTGGATAAATTGCACTGCGATTAAGAAAGGACGACATGTCACCGGAGGTCCGCCATGGAATCTACTGCCTGGAAAAGTTAAACCTGAGGACTCGTTGTTCTTCATTAGCAAAACCGGGGGGTTGCTACAATTAACAGTAAGTGGATGTTTTTTTTTTTACTTAATGAGCTTTAATTGTTTAATCATTTAATCTATGATTGTTTATTTTTCACTTAAACTATACATAATGAGCTTATTAGGTTAAGACATTAACCTTTTACTATTTATCATTTTTCCTTCCCAACCCATCTCATATTAACGTAAAACTGCTACTTACTCTAAAATTAAGACAATTTATTAAGTCTAGCAAGAAAAACATAAATCTTATGTATAAGCGCCTTATCTAGACATACACATCATCATTTATTTAGTCACTTTATTTACGCAACTAGTCGTTTTATTTACATAAGTAATACAATAATGCACTAGTTTTTTATGTTTTAAAAAGGGAATCTATGATAAAGTCCTAATATTTTTATTTACATAAGTGACACAATAATGCACTAGTTTTTTATGTTTTAAAAAAGGAATCTATGATAAAGTCATAATATTTTGAATCAGTTTATTGTTTAATCTTAACTTTTATTTTTTGAACAAAAAACATCAATTATATTATATTTTGCTCAAATTAACGAATCAATCCTTATTTTTCAATAGAAAACTACAGATTATCGAATAAAATTAGATAAACGAGATTTTTCTGTTCAAAAAATAAATGTTAGAATTAAACCGTAAACCAATCTGAAATATTGGGACTTTTTCGAAGATTTCCCTTTATAACACAACCAAAATATAATGAATTAATGGTGTTTTTAGGTTGCGCTAAGGAAGTTGAAATGGAAAGATTGTCGAAACCCTTGGAACGTAAAGATCGAGGGTATAATCGACCAAGAAACATTTAGAGAAAACGTAGTTTTTGTGGTTGGAAAAGACGGGCGGTTGTACCAGTACAACAAGGTAACCGGGCTATGGCACGGGCACCATCAATCACAACACATGGTGCTATCGAGACAGCCCGGGACCGCAATGAGACCATGGTCAAAATCATTGACCGGGTCTCTGTTCATGATATCAGAAGACGGTAGGCTCATTGAGTATCATTGGAATCAAATAGATGGTTGGGGTTGGGTGGAACACGGTGCACCGTGGCTCGGGGTGACACTGGTTGGGTCAACCGGACCATGTGTAGGTGGGACCCACTTGTTTTTGATCGGTTCAAATGGGAATGTTTACATAAGATACTTGGATTTGGATCAAGAAACATGGAAATGGAGCGATTGCGGGTTTCCAAATCAAGAACTAAAAAATGAAACTGATAATTGTGATTCAAAGGTATCGGGCACACGACCAATTCAATTCATGGAAAACTCGGTGATATTTGAGCTAAGAGATGGAAGGGTAATTTCGTAATTTCAGCATACACCTAATGTGTTTGGGTTTTAAGATTTTGTTTATTGATGCATGCAGTTGGCACAAATGCAAAGAACCGAGGATTTGCATTGGGTGTGGTGGCAGACCATAGGAACTCCGGTGAGCCGTTGCAATGTTGTCCACTGGACGGCTGTAGCAGCATGAAGATAGTTGATCGGTCAAAACCTAAAGAGTAAATTACATTTTTGGTCCCTGGATACAGCTGAATTTTTCAATTTTGGACCTAAAACTTTTTCTCTTGAAATTTTAGTCCTTCTTAGAGGTTTTTGTAATATTTTGGTCACTGCTCCAAATAAAATGATAACATATGAGGGACTAAAAATAGTTATTTTATTTGTGATAGTGACCAAAGAGTTATAACAACCTCAAATAAGGACCTAATATGCAATAGAAAACATTTTGGAAAAAAAAAAAAAAAAAACAGAGACATGGACCAAAAATGTAATTTACCCAAACTTAAATAGTCTAGTTTTGTATATATAACAGGCTTAAACATAAAACAATAAGCATCTTGTAAAAATGAAAGCTTCTATTGTAAAAATTATACATGGAGAACAAACGCATTTTGTAAAAACTGATTTTAAATGGTCTAAAAAGCTTCAGATTACAGAAATATCAGAAAAGTAAAAACAAGAAAAGAATCCTCTCTTGCATATGGAGTTTACTAGTACAATTGAAACCCTAATTGGTTGCTTGAAAAGCATACAAATCAAAATCTTCTTCTAGGGCTTCTTGAACGATGCCCATGTGGCGATCTACAGACAAATGATATCATTTGTTAACACATTTTTATATCTTTTTAAACGAATACCCTTTTTAAAAAAGTATATTAATTTGATAGTTTAGTATTTTGATGGATATGAAATTATGAATCATACCTCCTTCTGTTGTTTTTCCTTCTAAAAGGGCCTCTGCTGAATGCCCAGTCAACATTGACTGTTTGAGTGAGAAGCTCACCTCCATCCATTGAAGCTATGGCTTTCTCTGCTTCTTCAAAACTTTCATATTCAATGAGTGCATAGCCCTTGAAAACAGTAATCAATTGTCATATTTCTTGCATAGAATAGGAGTTGTAATAAAGATAAAATAGCTTTACTCTACCTTAACAAATCCAGTTCTTCGATCAAGATTTAGATGCAGATTCTTGATCTCCCCAAATTCTCCAAATGCATTTTGTAGGTCGTCTTCTTGTGCTTCTTCATGAACTCCAGTAACTAGAATAATCCATCCTTCAATTGCTACAAAAGTTTCATCTTGTTTAGTATTTCAGTATAACTTATCATAGTTTTCCACATTTTAACACATTGAGCTACCATTGTATCATGAAATTTAAGCACTAAACTCTGTTCCTTACAAATCATTCTCCAATTCAGACAGTTTCTTAAGCATGAGTGTCACAGACTACTTTGCCCTAATCCATTTGCACCAAACCTTGAACAATTAAATAACGTCCACCTTGAAATAGCTATATTTATAGGTTTTCAGAGTAAAATATCAGATCTATTCGCGAATAACCTAAGACTTGAAGATAGAAATGATTTTATATAGCAAAACTAAACCTAAACAAAGGTTAGACATTATCACGAACTTCAACTAGAGGTGCATAAACAACTATCGCAAACAAGCAAGATGAGAAAGAGTAGATAGATAACTAACATCGTTCTGGACCGGGTCCGCCATCGGAATCGAGGGAATCGAAACGACCGGACATACGGTTACTTCGCCCGGTGTCTGTTTCTTCACGGAAACCACGGCCTTTAGTTTTCTTCGGTGCGGCAGCGGCGGCAGATCCACCAGTGATAGCGGATTTAAGTTTAGGGATAGTAGCAGCAGCACCAGGAGAAGAGGCATCGACGTCGACGGCGGCCTCTTCGTCCATGAGATCGTCGTCATCGGGCTCAAAGTCCAACGCGTCTACGTCGGCAGCATTCGACATTCCGGCAAATTCAGCAATCGCAAATTGCCAGTAAATCCTTAAAGCTTAGTATTTTGTTAATCGGGTGGTGGTGACTGGTGAGGGGTGGTTTATGGCATACCTTTAAAGTGTAAGGGCTGTATCTCATATTCTCGTATAGGTTGTTTTTTGTGCTAGGAAAACTTACCAATGATTTTACAAAATTCGGAGCACCCGGATTCTATACTAGATCCGTGTTATTATCTTTGAAAAAATTTAAAATGGGTCATAATTCATGTTAGATTTTTGTGCAAATTGCCTTTTAAACACCTGTAGGAATTCTTTTTATAGATTATATTGTAAAAAAAGTTATGGACACATATGACTTGTGAGCAAGACCAACCCAACAAAAAAAATTATTCGAATGGCGTTGAAGAAAATTTATACATTAACATATACTTGTATTTTAGGAGGTGGCTAACAAATAAAAGTTTTTTCTATAGATATCATGATTTATATTTGATTTTTTAAAATTGTAAAATATAATAGAGAAGAAACAGTTCTTTATCTCATTGAAAAAACATATCATAACTTGTAGGTTGTTTTCAAAACTCGTTATTTACAATTGTAAGACATTATAAATATTTTTCTAAATTATATTTGATATTCCATATTAAATCAATTTTATAGTGTCCTAGGGGTTGTTTGTTTTGCTTCTTATTGATTCGGTAAGATGTAGGATCTGATTCGGTTAGATTAATACGTTTTGAAACCGTTAATTCAAAATTCTTATTTATTCCTTAAAGTGTGATTCGGTCCATTATGAAAAGAATGTAACTAAGAAAAGAACATCATTTGCCCTTATTTTCCCTTTTCTATGTGGTGAGCTCATTGATAAAATTGTGTGCATAATTTTGATTATCATGCAATAAACACAATTTGTTAATTTCTAGTTCTGATTCAGGTCCGTCCTAAAAGATAGGCGATAGAAACAACCGTTCAAGACTATCTTTTAAAGGGATCCAAATTTTATATGGACTTTATTATTATTATTATTATTATTATATATATATATATATATATATATATATATATATATATATATATATATATATTATTTAGGAATCATGTATGTATAAATTTTTTTGTAATCGAATATGTTATATTTGGATGCTAGTACAAATTTTTTTTTTTCAATTATTGATTTATTATAAAAAAAAGTTAATGAAATTCGTGTATATTAAGGGACTTGTATTCTCCTTCCTTCGACTCAGAATATGTTTGAAACAATCATGTTCTAATTTTGCATTCTTCATAGTTTTGTTGTAATACATAGCTTCTCAAACTCCTTTTGGTTCTAAACATTTTAGGTTACCATAGTGGCTACCACCATTAATTTCAAGTTCTTTTTTATGCCAATCATTTATGTTGGGATCAACATTCTTTAGCATTGTTTTGGTTCTTGTGAACCCTTACAAAATTTTCTTTTCATTTAAGTTTATGAATGCTACTAGGTGTTTGATATTTTGTTCTTTTTCATTAAGTACTGGAGAATGAACATCACATGGAAAAAAATATACAAAGTTGAAGCCTTTTTTGTAAATTATAGTGAATATATAACTCATATGGGTAAGGTAAACCACATATTAAACTCCACGATAATCTTTAAAATTATAGATTTACCACCTGGTTCTCTATTGTATTCTACTAGATTACTTTTATTTTATGGATTGAAAGAACTAAATTAAATTGTTATTGGTATAGAGTTATGAAAGTCCAAATAATTAAATCGAGAACTTGGAGTTATGTAACGCATGTATGATTTATTATGATTTGCTTGAATTTGATATTTTTAATAATTATTTAGCAACTTTATTCATATATTTTATCAACTTAAAATATGTTATTCAACACAAAACAAAATAAAAAGGTAAATAATCATATTCAACATTTAACATACTCCGTCATATTAGTAATCAAATAAATACGATTTCAGTGAGAAACAAACAAATATGATTTCAATGAGAGACAAATTTAGTCGGAACTTCATACTCAGTTAGCCTTTTAGATACCAACTATCAAACAACCCTTTAAATGATATTATTATAACTTGACATAATAACAAATATTTTTGACCATTTTATTTTTTTCAGCTCATTCAAATCGGACACAGTGGAGTTTCAATCCCAGATCACCCAACAAAGATTCACATAGAAATCTTCTTTAGTCCCAAACTCACATGATTACTAAGAACCATTTATTAATCAAATATTAAAAATAAGAGGAAATTAGATCTTACTAATAACATCAATGCCATAGATATGATTAGGTATCTACACTTACAAACATGTAAAAAAAAAACACACTTGTAATTATTTTTTAACAAAGCAAATTAGATTCTAGAAATTTTGCTATAAAAGCCATGAGTCAAACTAGAGAAAGGCAAGAAGCTCAGGGTCATTTTGCATAATAGCCATGTCTTGCTTTCCTAGACACACAAGTGCTTCAATACCATTTGGAGCATCCATCAAAATAAAGCTATTCTTCTTTAGATCTCCAGCAAGGGTTGCTTTTACAGGCTTTCCCCACCCAAAATCAATCTCATATGTAGGATACCCACAAAAGCTTGAACAAATATAAAAAACATCAAGTTTTCTTTGCCCTTCTTCTACAACGGGTTGAGAAAAAAGACCAAACACACTTTCCATATTTCTTAGGCCTTGGATTTGTATCTTTTCTTTCTTGAGCTTGTTGATGAATGACTCGGGCTTCAGTTCACTTTCGTTCTCTGTTACAATCTCCATTGCCATGACAAAATTTCCTATGCTCTTTTGAGGCAATGACTCGATCATTTTTCCTCTAATGTTTATTAGATGATTAACCCCACTGGGTTTGAAAACCCCTGAATTGTTTTTGGTAGCTGCAGCCACTGCACACTTATAAAGTATCCAATTCAAAACTTCAACACGAGTAGGGTTGGTGATGGGTTGACTAGATTCTTCGGTCATGGCTTTGACTTTGAGTTTAAGGTCGTTTAACTTTGAGTTAGGAAATATGAAACTCCTTGTTACACAATCCTTTGATCTCTCAAGCAAAAGCGACGTAAAGTTTACGTTCATGTATTGAAAAGGAATAAATTGTGGGTCATGATCAATTGAAAATTCATTCTTCTTCTGCTCTTTGGAGCAAAGTCGTGTCATCATAGCCCAGTCGTTTAAAAAATGAACCAAACTGCTTCCATCTACTACCTTGTGGGACAACGACACTGCAACTGCTACCCCTCCACATTCAAAATGATTAAGCTGAACTGCAAGTGGGATCACTTCGTCGTTGTGAAGATCATGATCTCCGTCTCCACGATTGGAGTTGTAATTTACTAGACCATGTGGAAATAACTGGTCGAGATCTTCATGGTGCGAGGATTGAAGGAAATCTGAGAGTGTGATATCAGTCGATGCTTCAAGGAACTCAGCTCCATTGTCGTTGCAATCTATACAAGCTGGTGCGACTTTAGTATGCCTACCAGCAAAAGGGTAGTATTTGGTTAATGTTTGAGATAATGAATGCTTCAGATCAAGTGTTTTATCATGGGATCTACTTCTACCATGGATTCTGGTGTTTGGGTAGAATGTAACCATTGGCACAAATGTATCGGGAACGAGTTGATCAATCAATGAAAGATTGTAAGTTTTGAGGTGTGAAGGGGTCGGAGAAGAGGGTTTGATGATTTCTCTGGATACGATTGTGTGAAACTGCCTTCTACCAAATCTTATGAAGCTACGTATCATCGTCATTTTAGCAAAGAGAAAAATTAAAGAAAAGGGTTTGATGATATTAACCATGTAGTTTTTCATAGCATATATAGCCATGGTTTCTTTAATTACATGTATAATTCAATTAATGCATTCCGGCTGTTTGGAATCTAATCCATAAACTATAGGCAAGTATCATAATAATATATGGACTAAGACATATTTTATAAAACTCAACGTGCAAGTTGACACATGAAAGGACGAAAAGTCGTCGTTGGATATTAGTGAATAAATCAAAACTCAATATCATATTTCAATGGGTAATCATATAATTTGTTTTTTTTGAAAAATAATCCTGAATTTCTTCATTCCGGAGTTTTATTTATTTATTTATTTTAGCGAAGATCTTTTTATTTTTTTTGGGATTTCGAATACTATATTTTGAAATGTTTAATGTCATTGTTTTTCAATAAAATGTTTAATTTTATGTATTAATATATTACATAGCTCACAATAATACGTTTGTTTATCTTTTTGTTAAATTTAACTAAAAAATGATTTTTTTTTCTAGAAATTCTGGAATTGTACTTCGGATTCCGGATTTGTTTTGAAATTCTAGAGTTTTTTTTTTTTGAAATCCAGAATTTTAGTCCGGAATACTGTTCTAGAATCAATGAAAAAAATGTTTTTTCTTAATCCAAAATATCAAAAAGTTTTTTTTAGTTATTTTGTTCAAATAAATATTAAAAATCGATTAAATTACTTAATTTCCCTACTTTATATGTATTAAGATAATTTAAATAGGTTAATTATATATGAATATGTTGCGATCAGTGAAATCATCTTGTCTGTTTCTACTTTTAATAAACAAAATTCTTTTTTGTGTAGAAAAACACTAAAAATTTTATAAGGCTAAGGGGTGTAGTATAATTTTTTGTCAATGGTGAATAAAAAGATGTCACATAAACGTCATTTTTTACCTACGAGGTAGGGGAGGTAGGGTGTGGTGATGTTTTACCTACCAAATTTTCCTTTTTTTTAATTAAAAAATCTAAATAATTACATAAACATAAAAGTAAATACTAATTAAAATAACATAATATTTCATAAATTAAAAATGTTACATTTGATTTAACAATTATAAAACAAAAATTAAATTAACTAACTTAATAAAATATTTCAGTCCGAATATTCACCAATATCATTGTCGATTGGCTCATTTAAATCAATTTCATTAACCTGATATATGTGTTCCGCCAAATCGTTGTGAAGCCCGTGGTGTTTTTGATTGTCACGTACCATCTTTCTTCTTGCATGCCATGGGATAAAACCAGGCGGTATTGGCACACTAGAGAATGCATTGTCATTTGGTTGAAACTGTTAAATTATTTTGTGCTCGTCTTCCAAAATCATATTATGTAAAATGATACACGCATACATAATACAAGCGAGCTTTTCGACACTTCGAGGACGAGTCGAATGTTCTAGTATGCGCCAACGCTTCTTGAGGACTCTAAATGCTTGTTCGACATCATTCCTAGCATTTTCTTGGTGCGCTTTATACTTTGTGTTTTGGATCACCTG